TAGTATGCGGCTTGCTATTATTTCTTCTTTTTGGCGTCGTTGCTTTGGGAAAGAAGTATCCTGACAGAGGAATATCAAGAGGGTTCCAATTGGGAATTATGGTTGAGTATGCCGATAAAGGTGGATATGCAATAAGGAAAAAATGGTTGTTGGAAGATATTCTGGCAACAGAGAAATGTAGAGGAGGATTTTCAGCTATTGTAGGGATTCCCAGTATCGGGGAAGGTGGCTATTGGGAGAAAGAGGCATGGATGGAGGATTTTCTAGTATTTTTTGGGATATCTAGCGCCTGGGAGGGGGACTGCAGGGAGAAAGAGGCTTGCAAAATGGATTTTTAGCTCTGGAGTGAGGTCCAACGACTAGTGTCTTGGAGGGAGAAATTGTCTGTAGCAGGGAATGAGGAAGTTCTCGCCGGCAAGTGGTTTTCTCTCTCCACGAGATTCTATTTTTTTATTTTTCAAGGTTCTGATGCCATGTTGATTTTCAAAATTCTGCAGAATTATTTTCTTGATATGAAAATTGGGTATAAATACATCTTACATAAATCCTTGAATAAGAAAGACAATAAAAAGAAAATAACATGAAAGGAAAGATATAACACCTATAACTCCAATTAATTAACATTTAATAATTAATTGGAGAAAAAGGAAACAACATAAAATCAGAAAGCATAAAATATGAAAGGAAAGAAATTCATTCCCAGGAAATAAATATAAAATAGGAAAGGAAATAAATTTAATCCAAGAAAATAAATCCAATCCTCATAACTTCTAATAGGAATAAATTATTTCCTAACATAACTTCTAAAAAATACTAACTCAATCGAAACAGTTAAAAAATACTCTCCCTCTCATGCAACTGATCATGTTAATAAATAAGGTTTTTCTTAATTCACTGTTTACAATTAATAAAAATAGATTTTGTAGCTTTGTTTGAAACTCAGTATAATGTTGAACCTGTTCAAGTTATGCGTTATGCAGCTAGAAAATGTTTATTAAATATTGTTATTTATTCAAGGATGACTTTCAAATGATTATGATGTCATCAATGGTATTTAACGAATTAAATTGCATTAATTGACGAATTAGTTTCATCAGGTTGGCTCAAAATTCTTGTCTGAGTTACTATATTATATATAGAGCAGATTTGTGGAGCTATTTTATCCCATTGAAAGCCTTATTTATGTGTTGATCCGTTGCATTCACTAGTTATATGGACTTTTGTCATACTTTATTTCAAGGCTTGCTCATTTGTAACTATATGTTAAGGTCTGTTATGATCTGTTGTGGGGGCTTTGGGGTCATTTGTTCTGGGTGCCAAAATTCTGTAAGATGTATTAATAATGGAGAAGTTGAATTCATTATTCGTTAATTTTGTAGGCCATTCCCCATGCTGTAGCTATGGTTAGAGCTTCAGACAATAAAAGCCCAAGGGAAGCAGTTGAGTTTCTTTTGCAACTTTTGAAGGTAATTCATTTGCCAAATAATTCTTGTGATTATTTATGAATGGTTCATCCTACCCTGTTACGAAAATGCCATGTTTATCTTGCTGGCAAAGTATGCTTGTCAGTTAATGCAATTTCAGGCGCTGGTTGTTTTAGTTTCTTCCAATGTTAACTCAGTTAAACCATGTCTTAGGTATTTTAGACTCTTGAAGGTTTAATCGTATGGGTGTAAACGAGTCTGATTGAGCTCGAGCCACTCTAAGTTTTGGCTTGATTACTGAATCGAGTTCGAGTTTAATTCTACTAGTTTGAGTACGAGCTGGCTTGTTTCTTAAGAAAAAGAGAAAATAATATTTAGAAAAATTTACATATATAACACAATTCTTATGTATTTACATGTCGCACATAATCTATATTTACATACATAGTACTTTGGTGTTTTAAACCTAGACATGAAAAGATGTATTAAACTTTTAAAAAACGGTAATAGTTCTATTTTTTATGTGAAATTAAAGATTTATGTGCTATGTCTGTTAATATGAAAATTTAGGTGTATGATAGGTAAATACATATGATTTGTGTGCTATGTATTTAAATAACCCTAATATTAAATCAAGTTAGTGTTATAATAAAATGACAAATAGAATGAAAAATTAGGAGCTAAATAATACTTTAAAATAAAATGTAAAATATGATTTTTTATATGTATATTTTTTAAGTTTGAAGACGAAGTTTTGAATTTTAATATATTTTGGTTATTTTTAATATTAATTATTTTTTAGATGTACTAGAACACAAGTTAATTAGTCATTGTTATTGGCTTCAGCTTGTCTTGTTAGCTTATCTAGCTCAACTCACAAGCCATTTATTGAGCTGAGCCTAGCCAAGGAGGCTCATGAGTCAACATTGCTCATTTACACTCCAATTTAATCACAATGGCATACAAAGTTGGCCTATGATTATTAATTACATATCTAATAGTTGAATTATAAGTATCAAAATTTCTAATATATAGAAAATTAAACCAAATAACTCTAAACAATGGTGTAGAAGATTGCATTATTAGGGAAATGTTTCCTTCTGCTATCCTTGCTTCCAGCAGCTGCACTGCCCTTCTGGCCCTCTTGCTGCTGTTGGTGATCCCCTTAGACACTGGTTCCTGCTCCTGTACTGCCCCCTACACGAACTCTGGCTGCTGTCCAGTCCAATACCACTTCTTCTATTCTCTTCTACGCCTCCAAAACTTGCTGTCGGCCTCCTCCGAGCAGGCCACACTCACTTCTCCATCATTTGCTGCCGCAGCCCCGGGTTCTCGACCACCATCCAGCACGACCGCAGCTTCCGTCCCTCACGTTCGGCTTGCCGCTCTCCTTTAGAGAGCCATTTTTGTGTTTTGTATTGTTTCTTTTTCTTGTTTTGTAGGGTCGGCATCGTTATTTGTTGTTTACGCATTTGTGTTTTTTTATGTCGAGGATTAGTCATTGTAGTGTTAAAGTCAGCAATAAAGTTTGTCATTCAGTCGTTGTTTGGATCAACTCTGGTATCAAAAGGTTTGCTCGAGCAATTTAAATTTTGCAAAAATTTCTCCTCGTATTTTTTGTTGACATCTTCAAGACCCATCTTGAAATAAGGAAATCATCTTTGGCGGCTCATATTGTTAGGATTGGCTCTTTTGCTCATGGTATGGGCTCTTAAGATTTGTGCATTGTAAATAATTAGACCGATTAGAGTTTATCCATTTACGTTGCCTCCTTTGGAACTTCTCAAGCTTTGGATATTACATTACAATTTTTTCCTTTACTTGCTATTGATGATTCAATGGATGTCAGTAGTCCTTGTCTTACATCTTTGGTCTCATCAACTTTGGATGTTAGAACTTCTGATCCCTAAAATATCATCGTTGGGTTTGATATATGCCAGCCTAGTTATTACTTATGCTACCTCTCCTTGTGATATTACAACTATGCTCATCATTGATGAAATTGATTTTGTTTTGACAGCTGTAGATGATTCAATCAAATATTATTTTACATTGCAGATAAAAAGTTCCATTTATTTATTTATTTGTTTATTTTGAAACTCCAAATGGAAAAAAAAAGTCATTCTCCAATCTCCCAGATTTACTGGATTCGAAGCTAGTTGTAAGGTTTGTCCTATTTATTTTATTATATTTGACTTTGTGGGTATCTAATGGACAGTACTATCATCTTGATCCAATGTGTTTTGCCTTTCTTTTTTTTATGATAGTTCTATATAACTGCTATATCATTTTCCCTTACCAATAACTTTTTATAAAAATCCTTAGAAAATAACCAAATAACTCGTTAAACTTATTGAATAATATAGAATTGTTTACTAATATGAAAAAACATTTTCAATACTAATAAATAAAATCTCAATCAATTTTTGTTATGCTAATCATCCTTGGCTAATCGGTAAATTACATTCATTCAACATACAATAGATATATCTATATTCAAGCATCATGCTTATTGTCAAGTACTTATTTTGAATTTGTTACCTTTAAGTTGTTAGTGCTTCAAGCTTTCTTTTAACGTACATATGTTTGATAAACATTGAGGTGGATTTGGCTAACAACTACGTCGTTTGAATTACAGAATTGTGAAAGCTTTCTTTAAGGTGTAAATTAGCCTTGAGCTCAATCCATTGCTTAGTCCACTTTAATATTGCAAACGTTCTTACCCTTTCAGATTCATGTTTTTAATTTTGATGAAGCTGAATTTTATTGAGAGAAAATTTTTATTATTGTTAAATTTAATAGGATTTTGATTGTATCATCAATGGTTATCTCAGTTTGGCATAATTATTGTTGGGTACATATTTTTAATATCCCCTGTTATTACACAACCATCTATCCTCTAAATTACCACCTATCTTAAAGACCGTCGGCTTCACATATTCTCTCTCCCTTATTATTCCACAATATTTTAACATCAAAACCTGATTCTTAAACAACTTCCGGCACTCTTAGAATAGTGTCAATCACCTGAAAAAAAAATCATCAACAATATAATGTGATGAGAAAAACCAATCGTGTATGACTAAAATCTTTTAGGCTCTCTTGTTCAACATCTAAATCCTTCTTTTGTACAATAATCTATAAATGGACTTCTTATATATAACTCTAGCATTGAAATATTTATTTCAACTAAACATTCATCTCTAATGGATGAACTTTGTGGAGTTGGAAATTGCATATTTAAAAGTCTGCATATCATTACATTTAAATCTCCATAACAAACTTATACCATAGAATGCCTTTGATTGGACATTGTTCTTCCATTATAAAATGGCGTATGATTAACTAACATTTATAAACAATTTGTAAATTATCTTTGAGGTAGATTGAGCTTTTGTTTGTTTTGATATATATACTTTATAGTGTAAAATATTTAGTCTATTAATCGCTGATAACTTATTTATTAGGAGCTTATTTCAGTTTTCTTTGCTTATTTACCCGACGAGGTATATTATAAATTATTTTATGAATGGATAGCTCTTGCAACTTGTTTCTTGTTTTTATTCCTTTTTTTTTTCTTTTAGTACAATGATAACAACGGGAATCCCTATTCAGATGTTTATTGGCTAATCACTCTGATTCGCTCTGTCGGTGAACTTGAGCTTAGTCAGCAGGTATGTTTTATACTTGTCTCACTTAACAATATAATGTTTTATTTATTGATTTATTGATTGATTAATCTTTCTGACTCAGTTTTTTCAGCTCCTCTGAAGCCCAACATTCTTTTACAAACTTATTATTTTTACATTTGGTGAAATTGCTCTTAAATTATATGGACTTAAAAGTATATTCTTTCTATATGTGTAATGTTTTTTTATTTATCTTTGTAAAAGCTCTGTGATTCCGTTCTAGGACTCTTAGAAGGTATTTGGTAATGGGGTTTAGCCAGAAGTGGTTTTGGAATAGCAATGCAATGAAATATGGAAGTTTGACCGCGTCGTTTAGAGGGGGAGATGCATAAATCCTGCTCTTGGACAGCAATTGGAGGAGTTCGGCGGTTGATCAGATTGAAAACAGTGGACGAACGACGAAACGACGTAGTACGGACGTCGAGGGTGATCTACCACCTGATTTTAGGCAAGTTACAACCACACCACTTGCAATAGGAAGATGATACAACTCTTTGAAAAACATAAGTTAGAGAAAAATTCTCTCAACTTCATAATGTTACAGTGTGTGGAGCCACATGGACGTGTGGCTACCGTGGAGTCGGCGCTTAGGCGTTGGCCTTGGGCGCATATGCACCCACTATAGAGCGGGCGCTACTCTTTTTCCCGAGAGATTGACGCTTATGCGCCGGTCTATTGGCACCTAGGCCCCCATTTCTGGGTGCCGATACCGAGAGCTTGGCGCTTAGGCGCCAAACTAGGAGCCTAAGCTCTCAGTGCGATTAGTACATGAGATTTGTTTTTAAGCCGATTTCGAGCTTGGAAAAGGGTAACTAGTTTTTTCTTCTGAATTCTTCGACGAGCATCCCGGGGAAGGTGAGGAGTGTTGAAGAGGTGCATTTTGGTGATTTGACATGATTTTTACGTCGGATTGGAGAATGATATTGTTGTTGCAAGTTCTGTAAGTTTTTTCGTGCGAGTGTGGTGGTAAAAATTTTTGAATTACGTAGTGAAATTTGTGGTGATGTGACTCCATAATTTTTTCCTATTTTCGGATTTTTCCATATAAAATTATGTTGTGTTTTTCGGTTGCTTTGATTGTGCTTTCTTAATTTTTTTGTTCCAGTTTTTATCGAATCCTGTGATCTTATTTACAAGTGATCATGCGTCCAGACTTTTAAAGCTGGCTCAGAGAGGTAAGATTTCACTTCAAGCTAGGAACCTGTCCAATTTCGTTAAGCGTCTAGACTGATTCATTCAACAACTTGATATGAACATCATCATTTTCAACTATACCGAATCTTCCCTGGATCACTCTGAGTATAGTTTTTAAATACCTTTTATTGGGGCAAGAATGAAAAGAAACGCCTAAATTCACTATCTAGGATTCACTACAGACTAGGGATAACACCAGGGAGTCACTTTGTATTTCACCTACTGACATATTAGTAGAAAGACTACTTTCATGTCTTCGGCCAACAGCTTTCGTTAGAGCTTTGCAATTCTTCTTGCATTGTTCTTTCTTACCGTAGGTCCAACATTCTCCTCTGCTTCACTTGGAATTTCTTTTCTTGGAGTTGGATCTACCTTTGCCTGTATTCCTGCCCAGATTATTTCTCCTGTATCAGCATTTAATGAACAACTTGAAGATTCACCGTTTGTTGGTTTTTTGCGAACTTCTTCATTCAACATCCAACCCACGATATCATCAAAGTTAAAATTCAAACTCCCTAAAGAATTACTCGTCGTCGTTACCAAGCCATCCCAGCTATCCAACAATGAAGATAGTATCACCACTGCTCTGACGTCATCATCAAACTTGATCCCTACAGAATACAACTGGCTAGTCACAATATTGAAGTTATTAAGATGCTCTGCCACTGAACTGCCTTTTACCATCTTCATGTTTAGTAACTTCTTCATTAGAAAAATTTTATTGGAAGCATAAGGTTTTTCATACACTCTTGGTCAATGCCACCATGAGATACACCGTAGTATTTAGATTCACAATGTTAAATGCAATAGAGAAGGAAAGTGTCAACCAGACCATCATTCAGTTCAACACTTCTCATTCCTACAAAAGCATAGATTCAGGCTTTTTTGTGATTTTTTGTTGTGACAAATATAATTTTTTCGGATCAAACAAATCCTCCACCTGCATCTTCCAGAAAGCAAAGTTCGTCACTTTAAACTTCTCAACTTTGAATCTTGCTTCTTCGGTAATTGCTCCCATTTGAATTGAACATAGTCTGATACCAATTTGTTAAGGAAATTACTTCGAAAGAATTGAACAATCAAAAGTAGGCAGAAGAGGCAATGTCAAATCCTGAAGCTTGTGTTTTTCTATTGTTGGAGATATATTTTGTATGTTTCTCATTTCAAATAATCCTAAGGGTCAATGTCATACATACCCTAAAATTTTGACTAATTACAAGACGGATACCCTTCTATCTTTATTTTTCATAATTTTACCAAATATCAACATTCACAACAAAATTTCAACTCAGATATTTGAATTTTGTCAAATTCTCAACAATTTGATTGTGGCAAACATAAATATGTGTTGGGTTGCTCATTTATTTGGATGTTTACTAATTTTGTAAATAGTTTAGATTTTTTGTAAATGTTTCAAATTTTAATCCAAATTGAAGAGAAGAACAATGGTCCAAAGATCCATTTAAGCTATTTTTCATATGATGTTGATCCAAGTCCAAGAAAAGAAATTTATCATTCCCATAACCTTGTGAATTCTAGACAGCTTATAAAGTTTCATTCAAATTTTATTGTAAAAAACTATAGAAAATATGAAAATCAGCTTAATATTGCGCATTATACTAGGAGCAAGTTTTAGAATTGAGGGGATCCAAGTTTTGAAAAGAGCTTTGATAGGTTATTGTAACTGGATAAATTTCACTCAAGGTCATTGTAAATCCATGTGATGACTTTCTTTCTCACCCCACCAAAGGATAACAAAATATAGAAAATTTTAACTGAAAAAAGATCTACATCTTAGTATACTGTCATCTGAGTAAATGACGCTATATTAAGAAATTTGGCTAACATGGCTAACTAACTCGGGTCATGAAAGTGAGATCAAGGTTCATGTAAGGGAGTAATAGTTAACAGAATTCTTCACTTTACAACAATTTTATAATGACTAGATATCTTTGAGCTAAATATTTGGTGTGGGGAGTACAATGATGAGTGCATCAAACTCGAAGAAAATATGAACTTTATAATTTTTTTGTTAGGCTTTATTGAAGATGTGAGATTTGTAGAATTATATTTGGGATTAATCCCCTTTCCCAAGTTGAAGCATTTGCTGAATTTTAAAGAGAAGAAAGTTGATAAAAATATAATGCTTTGTCATTCCAAAAATACGCTCATGTCGAAGAATTTTCTTTTGCTATCAAAAGTCCTAGATCCAAACCCAAGGCATGATCTGAGGTCTGGAGTTTGTTGTTATGCATGTAGAATACTAATCACATTCGACAAAATTGTTGGGAAGCTCTTGACAAACTAAGAAATCAAAACATATGTACAAATCATTAAGAAGGAACTAAAACTTATCGTAATAAATGAGAGAGAGACTAAAGATGAGAAATAGTGAAAATTTTGGCGATATTTCCTAAAACAAAGAAGAATTTGAACTTGGATACAATTTTCTCACTTCTAAAAATGCAGCCTTCATTTCAGTCTATGAACGCTTTTTCTTTTTCTTTTTTTTTTTTTGTTTGCACATTACTGAACCAGGGAAGTCCAAGAATTTGAACTTGAGCATTTTATTACATAAAAGGTTTTCTTGATATTATTTCTTATATTGCCTTACTTGAAAGCCTCAAAGTCAAAATTAATGATTGATCTCCATCCCCCTTGTTTGGACAAGAATAAATAGAATTAACTCTAAGCTTTGTTTGATTCATGCATTTAATTTTATAAATCTCTTTTGCAACCTCATGTCTATTAGTTAGATGGCTAAATATTACAACTAAAAAATTACCTTTCCATCAAAATCTTATAAATTTTATTACCATAGATTAGGGAAGAGGATTGATAGTGCTAACGAAGTTAGAGATCTATGTTTATTTAATGAAGATTTATGAGAGATTAATAATGCCCTTGCTATCAACAAGGGCTCTATGCTTTTGAAATAGGTGATTAAAATATGTTATGACATACTAAGTTAGGTCATTTTAAATTCCTTAAAAATTTATTTCCTTTTTTGTTTGGTTATAAAGATATGTTTCAATGTGAAATCTGTCGATTTGCAAACCGCCAAAAAGCTACATTTACACCTAAGACACTAAACCTGTTTTACTTATTTAGAGTGTTTTCAACTTTTAACTCAAAATGATTGTTCATTATCGTATTGATGATCACACATGTGTGCTGGTTATATTTTTTAAAATATAAATTTGATGTTGAACAAATTTTTAGAATATTACACGATGTGGTTATAATCCAACACCGCTAAATATCAAATCCTCCACTCCAAGTGTTTAATCATATTTAGTTAAATTACTTCGGATGGTATGTTATTATCCATCAATATTATTTTGGTGATTCTCCTCAGCAAATTATTTTCGATAAACAAATGAACTAGACAATTCTTAAAGATGACTAATTTTTTGTGCAACACTATTATCTCTAAATATTGCTAGGATTATTTCATTCACGCTGCTTGCTTTCTTTGAAATCAGTTGTTTAACTTGTAATTTGTAAATTCTCAAAGTTCTAATTCTTGTGATAATGCTCAACCTGCGATATCAAAATGTTATGGGATATGGCCCTTGATCCTTGAAAAAATAATAATTGTTCTCTAACTTTGTAGAGATTGAATTTTTTTAAGGTGGTAGAAGAGGTTTCTAATAACATTCAGGAAGAGACCAAAGCATACATATACATATATAACACATATATATATATATATATATATATATATATATATATATAT